TGATAGACACAATATCATTTTAGGTAGATATAATATCATTTCTGGTAGATACAATCCCAGTCTTTCCTGATGTAATATCAGATGTTTTTATCTAATGTAATGCCAGATTTAGCAATCTGATACAATCATTTTGGCAGTGATGTTCTACATTGCAGCCATCATTGTTTCAGTCGATTCAGAATATGAACAACATCATTTGTTCAACGGGTTCTGATCAAATTCTGAGGGTCTGAGAGCCACAGTCATATAGTTTTTCGGGTCAAGATGGAGAGCAACATGCTGAAGTTTTGTGGTGGCAACTTGGAAATTCTAGCATGACAACAACCGCCTTCAACTTTTTGATTTCATTGTTAAGATAACGTTTTCTACCACGACAGAGAATGGTCAAGAGGAAAAGAGGGGGAAATGGATAGGGGGGGGGGGGGGTAGGAAGCAAGCTTGAAGGGCAACAAAGACTCTGTGGGAGAGGAAAACTAATACCACTTCTCACAGCGCGAATATATAAAAAAATGGAGAAAAACAAAATCTTGAACTGACAAACACCACAAGAAAAGAAAAAAAAAGTGTCATTTGGGATGAGCAAGAGGGAATGTTGGAGGAATGTTCTTAGACAAAGACCATCTCGTCGCACTCGGGATTGGAGCAGACGAAGTTTGTTCCCACATCGGGGTTATAGCCAATGACGGGTTGATGAGAAGCTCTTTCACTGAGATTATCAAGTAGATAGAAAGAGAGGTGAGCAGATGAGTAAGATAGTTCATCCAGAAGAGATAGTAACAGTGAGAGAGAAAAAAACGACGGACCCATGTTCAAGGAAGTGTTGATCAATGGAGGCGAGAGTTTCGCCATCGATGCCCCAGGGGCAATGAGCACATTGGACACCTTGTGGGGCAGGCTCGGTGGCTTGCAGGGTGCCCACCGGACAGGCTGGGCAGATTGCCCGCGGAGCAAGCAGGATCGCGAGCAAGCTGTGGTGGTGCTCATCCGGACGGACAGTGGAGCAAGCGCTGGCCATAGACGTATCAGGACCTTCGCTATCCATCGCGTCCGAGGCAGCGGCCTCAGCATACATCTGCGTCAAGTCAAGCTCATGGTCTGGCTCAATCGGCTCCTCCTGCATCAAATCACTCTCTATCCAGCCATCAACAAGGGAAGTCATCAGTCTAAGATCGGGGGCTTTGAAGGGTTTCATAGTTTTTTTTTTCTTTGAGATCGTGACAAACGAAAACAGGAAGGGCACACAGACCTTCTGCTTCTTCAATCATTTCATCGGTTTGGCTACTCAGGAGGGCCTCCCACTGTCGATTCATCTGCTTGATGTGACGCCTTCCAAGCTCTTCGGCCATCATCTCATCCTTACGGGAGATAATCTCGTCGATCCCGCGTTGGGAGCCGTTCGAGAAGGCGTCGAGCAGGGGCCGATGGGCGTTCGAACGATTCTTGCGTTCAATATTCCGGAGTCTGCTGGCTGCCTGGAGACGAAGCTGAGAAGGAGATCGGTCGGACTGGCCGGCCTTGGAGACGTAGGCTCGGGACAGCGGGGTGGGTGAGCTCTGCGGGGTCTCGCTAGCCGAGGAGCGCGGGCTCGCCCGGGAGGAGCCAGGCTGCTTCCAAGCGCGCGAACGGGGATGGGTTGACTGTGAGGGGGAGAAGAGTCGATCGTGTCGGTTGGGGGCTAAGGCGGGCAGCCAGCTAGGCCCGGGACTGCTCGAGGCGGCCGTGTCAAAATGGCCGATCCGGGGCGAGGAACCGATCGGCAAAGCGTCCGACTCGTCATCCATCTTCATCATCTCATCGTCACATGACCTGATATCTGGCTCGGATTCGGGAAGGTCGGAAAACGGAAGCAACGAAGGCCCAGGCGGACTGGATACCAGCTGAAACATGTCTATACACGAGCTACTCGACAGAGGCGATGATGCGCTCGCTGGGTAAGAATTGGCGAGTGGTGAGCTGACCCTTGGCGAGAATTTCCCTGAGGAGAACGAGCTGGTCTGGTGGTACGTTTCCGGATTCGATAATGCTCGTCGTATGGCGGGCCCATCAGACATCTTGGAAGTGTTGAGGAGTGTGGGGTGATGACATGAGTGGGCAGGCAGCCTGTGTGCTTTCTGAGCGGCTGAGTGGGCGGGCCGCAGCCCAAGCGAGCCCAGTCGTGTTAGCTCCACCCCATACCGAGCTCAGTCCGGGCGGATGGGGGGGGGGGGGCACATTCAAGCCTGAGTCCCGACACCCGGGGTCCGGAATCAGACACAACCTTGGACCCCGGGGCTCGGGACCATGACTTGGCAGCAACTTCTCGAATCTGAACCGATGATGATGATGCAAACTTTCTTAACAGCTTTGCCGTTCGAAGGAAGCAAAGATATGCTACGGAGCTGCAGAGTCGCGCCACGCGCCCAGCAGGAAATACATTGTCCGCGACAAGCTCGTATGAGCCGCGATCAGTTGGCGGCCCCGGACTGCCGGCCTGATCGGCGGTCTCGGACCAGCTGATCCGCCTCAGGACGATGCTCCGAATCTGAACTTTCTCTCTCTGCCATTGAACGGCCTCGTGTTAATACACAGAGCTTTCCCCCTCCTCTGCCCCCTCAAAAAAGAGGTCATGCCGGCTTCAGAGTCAATCGGGTGTTGGACAGAAGAAAATGAGATGCTTGCAGGAGCTGATGCGCGCTGGGGGAGGGGTACCTGGACCGGTTCAGAATCAGGGACGGCTTGCCTCTCCTCCATTTCCTGGTCAACTGGGGCAATTCTCATTTTCAACTAACAAGTGATCAGACAACATTCTCATCATGCTCACTGACCCTTGCCTTGGTCAGCCTCGGTCTATATAAGCCGGTGCTCTTAACGGAAGACCTTCCTGCACTCCGCCTCATCCCCTCATCCCCACCACCCTCTTCAATTCTGTCCAACGAGATCAAGCATCTAACTCCAAAGCTTTTCATTCACTTTGACCAGGAAATATGTTCACCTGGGCCCGACTCGGTCCACTTTCTGTGGGCTCGTCCCTCTTCTTGGCATGTTGTGTGGCCGCCTGGCCGTCGATGGCCGAACCCTCATCTCCCAATGAGAAGCTATGTCCACGTCAATACCCTCAAACTATCTTCGAGGCCGCCATGAATAACCAGATTCAGGCTTCTCATCTTCCTGCTGAGGCCCTTGTTTACACGGCCGCCAATGGACAGGCCTACGCAACCCCGCTCGCCGCCCAAAGGATTGGGCTAGATGGTTTGTCTAACCCTTTGTCATCTCTTTTTTCTTTATCTCTACTCATCATCCCTATCTCTCCTCCGTGTCTCTAGGCCCGCTCCTCCTCCAGGATTCTCATTTGATCGATAACCAGGCCCATTTCAACCGCAAAAATATCCCCAATCGCGTTGTCCATGCTCTTGGTGGTAAGAAACAATTATTCCTGGTTTCCATTTATCGATCAAATGGATTTATATCAATATACTATTTTTTTGTTTAAAAAAAATGAAAGCCGGCGCTCACGGGATATTTACAACGACGACAGACTTTGCCAGTTGATACACGATGATGAGTCTTTTCCAAAGAGGTAATGTATTTCTATAGTATTATTTTTGACATTTTCAGGGCTCTTTACTCATCATCAATCCTTTCCTCTTTTTCTGTATAAGTCGGTCAAACTACCCCTCTTACTATGCGCTTCTCTACTGCGGCAGGCAAAAAAGGTGACTTCGATACCGTTCGTAACGTTCACGGATTTGGCGTCAAGTTTGTCTATATTATCTCGTCTATTTTGGAGATATTCATTTGGATCCTCATTTTGTTTTGTTGTTTCCATCTTCATTATCTTCATTAGGTTCCGCACTCCAAAAGGAAATTGGAATTTGAAAAGTAAGTCTTTCACACTCCTTTTGTAGCTGCGGCAATCATCCTTTAAACTGACAAAAAAAAAACATGAAAAATTTCATCTGTTCAAGTGAACAATTCCCCGATATTTTTTGGTAAGGCTTGCCTCTTCATACTTAATGGATTTCCATCTTGACAATCAAATGATTCCAATCTGCTTTTATATATATTTATTTTTTGGTTTTTGATCGATAGTCCGTGATCCGGCTAAGTTTCCTTTACTTATTCAATCCTTAACCACCAATGCTCAAACCGGTCGACAGGATGCTATGTTGTAAGTCTTAGGACTCATTCTACCTACCTTCATCAGTCTGATGATCTTACTTTTGAGGATTGTCTTTTCAGTGATTATCTTGGCTCTAATGCTGAGGCTTTGCCTCAATTCCTCTGTCTTCTATCCGACGCTGGGACTCCTCAAGGTAGGTTCAGAACACCAGGGGAGTTTGCTCAGCACCTGCTTTCAAGTGCCATCAGTGAACTTGGTCATAGATCTGGTTTGAAGTCTGTGTTGGAATTGGGTGTGCACAGTGGGTGCTGGTGTTGGAATTAGGTGTGCACAGTGGGTGCAGGTGCTGTCAATACTCCAGATCGGGAGTGTTGTGATCATGACATCATGATCAATTTGGCACGGTCAACAGGCTCTTTCCTCATCCCATCTTCTTTATCACAACTCGACATCGCTCAACTATTCTTCATCAATCTTCAAGTTCAGCATCGATCAAGTGTGAGGGATCATTGGCTAGGGACTTATAGCTTTGAGGTATTTTTATTATTATTTCTTATTATTATCATTCATTCACCAGGGATGATTTCATGGCACTTGCATGCAAGTGCCTTCACGTAACTTTCTTGAATAACTTTTTTGTAACTTCTAAGAAGTGAGTCTAAGTTGGGTTCCAAGTGATGTTATTCTCAGTGTGATGTTATGCTTAACTTGGGCTGATATCAAACTCAGAAGTCAAATCCATGTCTTGCTGAAGTCAATCTGGTCTAATGTTCTACTCATGGATAAATGATCTCTCAACTTTAACTGGAATTTCTTTTTGTATATTTTTGATTGATCCAACATAATTAAATGGAAATAATATTCTCATCCTCAGCAGCCTTTTTAGAATATGTATATACACTACATAAGTGAAGATTGATGATTTATGCTTTTTACTTTTTTTAATATGAAAATCTGCTTTTACCAGATATGATCACTGTTGTTTCAACTCAGTCATTTAATGCAATATTGAGATCACATTTAGATCATGTTTTAAAGAATTTCAGAGCCCTATCCCTGTGAGAATCTATTTGAGATGCAACTTCTTGAATCAAAGTATTTCCATGACAGAAAATTTCTGTGCATAAAGGTATAGCATTTTTCTAAAGGTACATTAATGCAATATTTGTAACTTACTTTGAATTCCCATTGAATATGTCAAAGAAGAGGGTGCAAATATCTCTATCTCTTTGTGAACGATGCATACCTGCATATAAAATTGGATGGATTCACCATAAATTCACAATAGAGAGTGGAAGATTTTGCATGAAGGTTTGTATTTCATTTTAGCTTGAGCAAAGTTTGTAAACCAAGAATTAAGACCAGGGCACCTGCTGCAAAAAAGTTGTATTTTATCTGAGTACATGGGAATTGGTATTGGTGTAGTGACCCTGAAAAGTAAATGTATAACTGCCAAAATTGATTTTCAGGGTTTGAAAAAATTATAATGATAATTTGTTTCTCAAGTCCCAATGACACATGCAGGAGTTTCAGAGAAAATATTGCTATGTATACAGCTTTGTGTTTGAAAGACAACACACTCATTTCAATTTCAAATCTCTTCTCACATCCAAATTCATAGTGGAGTAGTGAGGCTGAGTGTTTCATCATTTGCATTTCACACTTTCTAAATTATGCAATGGTTTATTGAAGCATTTAATGAAGAGTTGATGTCAAAATTGGTCTCAACAGAACCCACAGAAATCACATTCAACTACTTTTGCTGCAAATATATTAACCATTTGAATCAGATTGAGCTTCCTTTTGGAATGTGATAGATGAATAGTGCCCTGAAACTTTCAATCAACATGAAGATCAGGAACATGTGGGGATTTTTTCTTAAAACATATGGATGGAAGAGACACGTGGAGACCCAGGAGTGCAGAAACAAGCATTTTTTGAGTCAACAGGCTAGAAATAAGAGGCAAAGAGGTTAAAACAAGAGTAAATGAGAAAAGCAACACTGATAAAACTATTACAACTTCCTCTGAGCATTGGATATTTGTTTTTGTTTCCCAGCCACATCAAGGGTAGGAGCTGTACCATTAATGTAAGCAACTACAGCATGAGTCATAGCTTCAGACATCTGACAAGAGAAACCTATACGAGTATACCTGTCAGATGGAGAAGCTCCAGGAAGAGTCTGGTGTGTGTGAGAATTGGACTTGAAAACACAAAGAGTAACACCCAAAACATGATGCAAGTCTAAGCAGAGTTGAAATTTCCTAAAGGTGAATTGACCTCCCAACATATCAAAACCTTCATCGGCCAAAATTGGATCGTCGTCTGAAGCGGTGCGTGGGTTGAAAATAGGAATCCAGCAGACAAGAGTCCAGTTGTTTGCGTCAGAGTCCTTGTGGGGTCCGTTGTGGAAGTTGTACATGGTGAACGTGAGGAAGGAGGCAAAATCCAGAGCGTCGTAAGGCAAGGGATATTCCATATGAGCCATGGATGGCAAGTTGTTGCTGATAAGGGTTTTGCGGTATGATTCGAAGACACCTGGGGCAAGATGTTGGAGTTGGATTGCGATGAAGTCACTGGCTTCTTTGATTGAGGTAGCTTCGTCTTGAGGATTGTAGTTGGCCCGAAGCATCATCTTCACGAGTTTACCAACCAAGCAATAACGTCCAAAGGATTCTTTCTTTGAGCACTTACGCCATCCATCAGCCCACATATCTCCTGCCATTTGAGGCCCATTGTTTTTGACAGCCTCGACGTAATTGGTCCGATCAAAGAAGTGGCAGACAAGCTTCTCCCAACCTTGAATCTGTTCGGGAGACATGGTGGCAAAAGGAACATATTTAACCTTGCAGAAGGCTGGCCCACCTCGAGGTGCAGCAACGCAAGTACCATGAGTGAGATGATGGTACTGTTGTAGGGTGTTTTGGGTGGTGATTGCTTCAGAGGGGTTGGGGTCAACCTGTCGGTGAGGGGGAACAAAATAGAAGTAGACATGTTGTTCTTGATTTTGTTGGCTATGTTCGTTGTTGTTGTTGTTGTCGTTGTTGGTGAGTTCAGAGTCAGGAGAATCGTGGGTCTCAGCGGCTTCGGTTTGATTAATTGAAGGAGATCCTTCAAACGGCGCAGCTGCTTTCTTTTTATTTAACGCCCAGCGCTTAATGTCTTTCCCTGGTCGCACTCTTTTCTTGGATGAGGTTCTGTGGGATAGCAATTATGAGGGGTTAGTTCAAGTCAGGTTTCATGGGAAGAGCAGAGGGGCCATGGTTGATCTTGATGTGGAATGGGCTGGGTCTGAATAGATGCTCAGTCCTACAGAAGCCAATCCACATCACAGAAGGTACAGCAATCAGTCTACTTTAGAAAGATCAGCCCGGTCCGAATAGATGCTCAGTCCAAGGGCATGACCATTCTTCAGTAGACTGAGTATTGGACCAACATGGAAGAGGAGAGGCTGGTTGGCCTATTTCTGGAGGATCAACCGGGCCTGAATGGATGCTCAGGCCAACAGCATTGATCCCCTGAAAATAGACCCAGAAGGTAGGGAGGAAAAGATAGGGTGCTCACCGGGTCTCCCTACCAACAATAGAGCTATTGTGATTGCTGATAACTGGTGGATCAGGCTGCGGTTGTGAAGGTTCGTTCCTGTTGTGCATACTGGTTGAAAGAGTTCAATGTTAGTCCAGGTGGTTGTGTAGGAATGAATGGATTGGCTGATCTATCAGTGAATCAATCAATCAATTTGTTAATCGATCAATAGATTGATTGATTCGTTAATCGATCTATTGATTGATTAACAGATCGATTGATTGATTTGCTAATCAATCGATTGATCGATTAACGAAGCAATTGATTGATTAACAAAGCGATCAATCGATTAACGAGGTGATCAATCGATTAACAAAGCAATTGATTGATTAACAAAGCAATTGATCAATTAACGAATCAATCAATCGATTCGTTAATCGATTGATTGATTTGTTAATCGATCGATTGCTTTGTTAATTGATTGATTGCTTCGTTAATCGATCAATCAATCAGCAAAGCAATCAATGAGAAGAAGGAAAGGGACTGACCTGGGGTGATTGGAACAGGGGTGCTAGGGGATTGAAGTGATGTTCTTGTCTACAGGGAGTGAAAATGGTCTCATCAGCTGAAGGGAGTGATGAATGTGTAGGAGGTGAAAAAGAAGACAAAGACCTTACTTATTTGAAGGTTTAATGATGAGGGGATGAACAGAGGAATCGATTTGTCTATCTATTGATTGAATAATTGATGGATCACTCATTTGATTGAGAAAAGGATGAAGGGAGACAAAGAGAATCTTTTCAGGTGTTTTTTCAAAACTCAGGGTGATGAGAGTGGAGCAACTCACAAGATGACCAAATCCAAGTTGTTTTTTGTTTGAGGAGCCTGTTTAAGGAAATGATCGACTGTATGAGATGAGAGGAGCAAGTGTTAGCAAGTCAGTAAGGAAGTGAGTGAGTGAGTGAGTGAAAATGGGTACTTGAATCTGTTTGACCAATAAAGATAGGGGTTGATGGTGAGGTTGCAGGCAAGCAAATCCGGAGGGGGGGGCTGTGGTGACTAGACAGGTTGTGTTGGGTTGGTTGAGGTTTGATTGCGAAACAGGAAGCAGTTTTTTTTCCCCGAGTTCAAACAAACTCAGAAGGGGTTTGAAGGGGTTTGAATTGGCTGGCCTGCTGACCCCAATTTTGAGCCAACCAGAGATGTGATTTGGTCCAGTCGAGGATATGCACACAAAATTCAATGTTTATGTAGTGAACACATTACAAAATACTTCACACAAATCACAATCCTTGCAGCACTGTGGGGTGCATCAAAATTAAAATTGACCTTTAATGACTGCAAGAGGCATTCACAACAATCAAAGAGCTTCACCACATAAAAGCTTGTATGTGATAAAATATACCAAGGGGCTTTGTGAGGCTACTATACGGATACTTCAGAAGATTTATTGTTTCAACTAAAGGCTCAACTGAAATGAGGGATTGATCAATGCACACAAACAATCTGCAGAGATAAAGATGATTACAAAAACTATGGGTAGTGGGATAAGTGTGCCACATATGCCACTGTTGTTGAGGAGTCTTTGAATCACACATATAGTGCTGAGAATTTGGTGAAATTTTCAGCAGTAAACCATGCAATATTCTGCAAATTGGATAGACACAAATTACGGAGTTTTGTAAAACTACTGTCAGTGAAAGTGCCTCCTTGCAATTTCTTGTGGTTTTCAAGATGGATTTTGTAGATATCCCCCTGGGTGAGATCAGTCTGGCTGCAGGGTGAAAATGGTGGATTCTTGAGGATGGGAGAGAGGATTTGCATATAGTGATGCACATTTTGCCATACTTCTTTTGGACATTTCAGGCAAAGAGACATCTTGGATAGCTATACTGTAAATAACCTGTGGTGGTCTTCATTCCTCAAGAGACACTTAGAATTAACGGGGATGATGGTTTGTGGCCATAAGTGCAAACAGCGCTGCCCTATCATCCCATCATCCAACCAAAAGGTTGAACTCAAATTACTAATTTGGATTAGCACAAGAAAAACCTACATTAGGCATGACGTGAGTTCCCAGAGGTCAAAATAATTAACTTGAACTTTTGGCATGGGGCCCACAAATAAAAAATTTCAAGTGTAATCCTTCTGTGGGAAGTGAATCATGCTGATTTGAGGCATCTTGTGTCTCAGTTGCTGGATAGGAATTGGGATCATTTATCACATGTGTGGCCATTGCAGATGTTTCGAATGTGAAGGTACAGTGGTGATGTTTTGTTTCTTGTTTAGTTAGAGGAACACTTGGTTAACACTATGAATTTTCTACTGCTCCTTGAATCTTTTGAGTAGGAGACATGAGGTGAATCTCACAGAGCCGAAACAATAAATAGCATTCCATTGATGGATGTATTTGTTTTCAAACATGGTAGAGATGATTAGGTAGAGGGGTTCGGTCTACTAACAATTGATGATTGTTGACAAATTCCTCAATTGAAGGAGGAAGAGGTCAAGATCTGAAAGGAATTCCAACTGAGGTTGGGATTGGGTGAGGTGGGTTCCTTGGCAGGCCCTTCAAAGGAATTAGACAAATTTTAACTGGATGGTTAGTTTTAATTCTCCACTGTGCCTAGGGAGATCCATCACAAGCAGAAATCATAAATTGTGTGACAGGCAGGAGATGGGGGAATCCCTGGTAATCTTGAAGAGCAGCATCACCTGCACAACTTTTTTGTTGGAACCGATCTGTGTAGTAGTGTTTAACAGCTGGCAGGAGACATCAATAGGTCTCTAGCTTATGAGATAGGATATTGCACTTCAGGATGGTTGAAATATTTGTCACCTTTCATCTCTGAGTTCATTTGGCTTAATGTGGGATGCTATGGCACTGGGGGTCAGTCAGTTCATCTAAAGCTGGAACACACAATGAAATATTGGTATTTTTCAGCATCCAACTTGAGCAACTCGCAAAGCTATGGTGTATGTCAGGTTTTAGAGTAGTTGTTGATCAGTTCCATCTTGCTCTACAAGGAGAGGTGCTTAATCAGGAGTGTGGTGAGGAAGGGTGTTTTTTGCTGAAGTGGAACCCTTTGGCAAACAAGACCTGAGTGTGTCACCAAAACGTACGCGTGTACGTTTTGGTGACAAGATTGGATTTCGTCTGACATGAGGTGAATATGAGTGAAGGTGGGGAGTGCATTGAATTTTTCCCTTGCTGTGCTAGGAATTACATAAAGATAATGCACCCACAGAGATTCTGTTTGGGTCCTTCTTAGACAAAGGATGTTCCTAGCATCATGTGAGCAATTCCTTTGTGCATCGTTTGGCCCAATTATATAATAAATACCAGGATGACAAAGCACACAAAATAGGCATGATTCAATTTGTGCCTTTCCAAAGTTGATTAATCTTTGGCTTGCATGATTTTCAGGCTTTGCGCACCACCCAAACAAAATCAGCCAAATACCAAGCAAGAGCCATTGTTGATGACAGCTGATTCCCTTTGAAACATACAGTTGCATGCAGAAAAGATTTATTAATTGAAATGTAGTGCACACCAGTGGTAGTATGTTTGGGTAGGCGATGGGTCTAATTGCTGTAAATCTGCTTCCTTTCACAAAAACTAGTGAAGGGGAAAAAGCAGCTACTCGAATTTCAGGTGATTGAAACAGCTTTTCAAGTGGCAAACATTTTTCAGAGCTAACTTAAAAGGCACCTAAAAAACATGATGGTATCTTTCCCCTCTTCTCAAACCTCCTCCATATACTCCGAACATCAGTTCATCTTCATCCACTGATTAGTATAGCCTTGAGAAAATCCTTTGCAATGTTTGAGATATCCGGAAACCTTCACATTTCTCTAGCTCAAATCTCATCAATTCACGGCTTGCCAGATAATACTATACATCTCACTAGTGTGATTAGTTCCCCGGATATTGCGCAGAATACACCAATACATGAACTCTCCAAATTCCACGTCATTCTCCAGTCATATAGCCCAGAACCCCCCCCTTGGATTTATGAGCCGTTGACTGAGATCTTCTTTACTGGACATCTTGCGGCTAGTACAGTTGGAAGTTATCCGCGGATTGTGGTTGGAGCAGGAAAGTGGGTGTTGCACCGAGGCCAACACTTTGAGCTGGTTGAACAATTTCACAAGGCTGGGGTATGGGGATCTGGATATGTAGTGAGCGCCAAGTATAATCGGACTTCACCCCTACGAAGCTATTTGACTGTTTTGGATCCATCACCAAAGCAGGTATGTAGTAAAATTTGAGCAACGTGATTGATTAACAAAAATTTTGTACTAAACCTGCCCTTGCTTCATTGAATTTTGAATTTAAAAATTCAGGGGGGGCGGATTCAACTTCTTGCCTGGGACTCTGACATTTTGGAAAAGATGAGTCATCTTAAACGTGGTGACTGGATCACGTTTGGCGGGAAGGCTGGTATTGACTCGTTCAAGGACACTCACATTGTGGAATCGACGGTAAGTCTTTAGCTGCACCAATAACTTCTGCTGCTGGGAACTATGTAGTTGATCGTAACCCCTGTGCCTTGGAAAGGTCTCCAGCCTGGAACTCCTAGGACGATCCGAATCAACCCGATATCACCTCAGATCTAATCCAAAAAAAATCCACCAGTTGACTGTAGATGATTGGGTGCCGGAGAAGTTATTGAAGAAGAGGGGGCGCAAGATCCGATCATCCCGGTCTGTCTGGAAGAAGTATTAAATAAAAAGTCAGATGCATGATTGTCCTTTTTCTCCAGGTTTCTTGTTAATGCAGAAAAAAAACGGCTTCATCCGGGGTTTCTCCCTTCTTGATCTCCAACCCATCCTCTAGTTTGTTTATTTGATGTTTTGGTCTTGGGGCCTATTTATCTAAAATAATTTCCTTATTTTTGTCACATTTACATTCTCATTACACTTCTAGTATTGTTGGAACCGGTCAAAGGATAACTTACTATACCTGTGGTGTTTGAAAGTCTTCAGATTCTTGCAGTAGAAATTACTGTCAATAGAGGCTATTTTTACAAAGTCTGGTTTGGGACACAGAAGGAATCCATTTTTTTTCTAGGTAGAGTTACTTTGTGAATTTGAAATTAGGAGGATGAACACATGTAGATATAACTTCAATTTATCCTTTGTAGGCAAATGAGAACATGGGCACATCAAGGGACATTTTAAACTGCATATACCTTGCTTCCACTTTGGCATCTCCAAGGGGCCTAAGGGAGGAAGAATTAGAATAGGAATTCTTGAGGTGGTTATATCATGTCCGAGGTTTTTGTCTCACTCTGTGTAGTCTTATTCATTCATCCTCTGGGAGGTTCTGGGATTGGGGACATGAAAAAATTGAACAAACCCAGTGATTCTACAAAGTTGAAAACTTTACAGGAGGCAATCCAGTCCTGCAGGGCCATTGGGAAGGTTTTATTTTAGGTTGTGGTGGCAAGCCGCAAAAGTATGATATCTATGTGTCAGTGAATCTATGAAGAGGGGGGAGAATTGATGGTTACTGACTAGGATTCCCTGGAGGATATGATCTGTTGATCTGTTTGTGACCAAGCAGGGATTCTACACTTCATTCAAAAAGCACAAACAGCTTAACTCAGCTTAAATTTTGTCTGCTGATGATCCACCATCGGGAATGGCTAATAGAAGAACAAGACTGTTTATCTTTATACCAAAACTTAGGGGAAAGACCAGCCTCACAAGACCCACCAAGGTGTTGACAGACAACAGGGACAAGGTGACAATTGAGGGGCTACAATGTGGGACTCATGTTTTTTCAACGGAGAAAATCATGATAGAGAATTATTATTAACAACCGAGATTTTTTGTGGTGTATCGCTCCATTGAATCTGGAACACCAAATTTGAACAGCCAATGAGCCAGAAGGATTTTTTAAGCGCACTCAAAATTTAGCAGGCTAAGAAGAATAGATAAGACGTTTTGGGAAGGTATAAGGTTGAGCACCAAAAGGAGAGCATAGGGAAGATGAGAAGTTCACTTTGCAAAGCGTGAAAGGGAAGGGCACTTATTGTCACAAGGGAGCTAATTGAAAACACATTTTATTTTTCAGTAATTTGGTGGGGTGAATGGGGAATAAGAAACGGAGACGAGGGTTGCTGAGTCCTCCAATGGGTGAGAAAATCGATTGTAATCGCCTGTGCTAGCTCATGTGGATCTGGCCTTTTTTGAAGGGGGACTATTTTGCCGGGTGATTGGAACGCTGGTTGGAATATTTCAACAATGTATGCAGAGAGGTTTTTCCAAATGGTTTCCTCCGGGGTTCGGTTGACTTTTGAGCACCGAGTGATCACTTCCATGGCCTGGATAAACGACATGCATTCCGATACTGGAGATGTACGGTGATTCCTGGAACAGACAAAGAGGCCTCGAACACCGCCGATAAGGAAGTATGTAAGGGGCTGGAAGTTATGTCGGGACTGGATTGACTTCAGTCTCTTGGTGGAGGTAGAGGTTTTCGTGACAGCTCCTCCGGTTGTTTTTTGAGTCACAGCAGAGGCAGAATTTTCCTGGGGAGCTGAGGGTTGCTGGGATCGGCCTTGCTTCTTGATTTGGCTGTTTGTCAAGGGAGGCGGGCTGAGAGCGTGAACCTGGAATATTATGTAGCCCATGAAAACATCGATTATGACCTTTGAGAAGTCTTTCAAAACATCGATAGCATGAGATCGCAGGACAACTTCCCCTTCAGGGGCAGCGGAGGTCGGTTGGGTCTCTCCGGGTGTTTCAAAAGTTGAGAGTGAGTTCTTCAGTCCCTCAAGCCATTGAAGAACTTGAAGCCCTTGGTTGATTGGGTCGTCATCAGTATCCGGGGTTGGAGGAGGTGGGCTGTAGAGCTTGAATGCCATGACCTCAACAGAAGCTGCGATGATTTTTGCCCATTCAAAGATGACTGCAGGGGGTGGACTTTGAAGTCGGTGGAGGAAGCGGATGATGGTGGACTCGGGATGTATAGTTTTGGTGGTTGGAGAGATGAATGGCTCGGAGGATCCAGACTTTTCCAATTGGGAATACAACACAATCAGGGGGAAATCGATGACATCAGGGCAGTTCCATTGGTCATTTGGCAATGGAGCTAAGAAGTTTTTGGCTGAGGGAAGACAGGTCATTTTTTCAGTATGGTAGGTCAAGTTGGAAAAACAAAAAAAAAGGTTCAACTAACCAAGGGAGCTAATAGTTTTGATCCAAGAAGTATATGAACAGGTTGTCCTTTCAAAGTGAAAATCGAGATTGTGTGGTCCTGGGTTCTGGAGAGATTGGGCTCGGAATTGGGCCAGGTTTGAGAGGGCAGTCCACATAGTTTGGTACCTCTCCCAGTTGGGCTTCACACCATCAACATGCTGATAGATCTTGATGACTGAAATTCTTGCATCGCTTGACTTGAGGATCGTGAGATTTGTGAGTTGGTCTGTTGATTCTGGGGGTTGACTGGTTGAAGGATTTGGGGGTGGGGGAGGCACAGACGAGGTAGTTGTGGTGCTGTTGTTTTGGTTGTTCGGAACTTGGAGGTTGGCAGATGAGCCTTCGGGCTGATTCTCTGAGGACTGATGATCTTCTTCTGGAGGTTGACCTGGGTACATAGCAAAGGTGTTCAGTCTCAAGCAGGCTGTAGGCAACATTTCTTTGACAAAGTCCTCATTGAGAATGATAGTGCAAGCAATCAACATACCGTGATTTTCATCAGGAGGGCTGGGATCTTGAGTGATTTGAACACCTTGAGGCAACTGGGTGCTTGGAGAGTCTACCGGTTTGAACACTTCACCAGGAGAGATTGTCTGTGAGATTTTGTCAAAGGTTGTCTCGGCAGGGGCGACTGCGGGAGTAGTTGGTGTGATTGCCGATACAGGGGTGGGGAGTGAGGAAGTGGTAGGGATTGCTGGAGCATTGGAACTATCAACGTTTGCTGGAGCACTCGGGCTGGCAGAACTGGCAGAGATGGGTCCGTTGGTCAAGAGGGAGGCTGGATTGAAAGAGGGGGAATCCTTCTTTCGCTTGACTGGTCTTCTTGTGGATGTTGATGCTGAGGCTGTAGTATGCAAGGAAGGACGAGGTGCCTGGGCATGATTGATCTGGATGCCCTCATCGTCAGGTATTTCTCCAGTCTGCTGAAAAGCTGTGGTTATGCAAAAAAATCAGATTTTTGAAGGAAAAGTAATCTGAGGATTGGTGTGGAACATACTTATTTTTGAGCTCTTGATGTCATGAGCACATTCATCAATCTTCCTCTTCAGGCTCTTTGGGAGCTTCAGTTTGATCAAGCCAAGTATGGTTGTTTCTGCTGTGGTGATATTACGATGGAATTCTTCAGCTGTGATCTGCTGGATCTCGCTATCAAGAATTGATTGGTTGGGGTTGAGTTGCTCGGGAATACTAGTAAGCTTTGTCGACATTGAAAACTCTTCAAAAGTTGGGGCTGTCAACAGCTGACCAGGGAAGTTCTCCGCCAAAACCTGTGAACCTATCAAATTGAATTGGTCAGTAAGATTGATCTGATGAACAAGGAGTGTGAAAAACTATAAGTCATTACTTGGTGGAGGTGTAGGAGGATCCTCTGGAGAAGCATCTTGTTGAGAGGGTAAGCTGGTCGGGTTGACCGAGTTTGGGGTCTCAGAATTCATTGAGTTGGTGTGTTGGAATTTAATTTGTGGAGATTGGGATAATGGATGGAGGCGATTAAATAAATATTGTGATGTGAGGGAAATTGATTGGATGGGGGGAAGTGAGTAAAAAGGTGGGAAGAGTGCCTTCTTTTATGCTACAATTGAGAACCAAACACCGGTCAATAAAGTGGGTGTGTTCACCCACAATCTACCCATTGATTGTATCAGCTGTGTACTGTCGTCTAACAAAGGATTTGCTAGGTTAAGGCTGAACGTTGTAGACAAAGGAACACATCATCAACTTTCAGCGTTGATCCTTTTAAAGTTACCCAGCTGATGTCATAAGGATAGATACTGTGTCTTAGTTTGAAGGCTTGGAGGCACATGACATTCCTTGGTCACATTCCAATACCAGGTTGCTACAGTGCATTCCTCAAGGCAACAGTGTATATCTCGTGTCTCTTGCACATTTCTGTTGAGCTGACCGCGGTGCCCGCCTGGGACAGTCTTGCCTCAATGTGGTCACAACAGCGATGAACAGTGGCGTAACCGTGTTTTTTTCACCACTTAAGCAACACTTCATCTGCAGTTAAGTTGGCCTTAGACTGATGTTTGTTAGTAGTTTGCACTTATTGGTGATGAATTACTGCCAGAGGCACCTGTGAAAATCACACTTTGTTGTGTACCTTGTGTCACCAAAACGTACGCGCGTACGTTTTGGTGACATTGCTTTGGCAGGGCACAACCCCAAAATCACCCCAAACACTGATCCACACTCACCAACCCAGTCCATAAGCCTGTGACAAATCAGGCATAGACACTTAAACAGCCAAGATACAGGCTAAGGGGAAAATTCAGAAACAAATAATAGATTTGAGGCACATTCCCGGTATCCAACAAAACAAACAAACAACACTATGTACTATGTTGCCTGATACACCATGGATTTTCTAATTTAATCAACATTCATTGGCCGACTGGGTCCAGCGTCACTGCCCGCTGCTTCGTGAGGCTGAAATTGTTTCTGACCCCGGGTTGATGCGCTTGTGTCTGATGGACCGCTAGGCTGAGTGTTACTACCTTTGCGGCAAAGTCCAGCCAAGACTTCAGCAATATCTGCGATTTTGATCGCCGGAGTCTTTGAGAGAGTGTCCTGCTCAAATTTACTAAGACCTTTCCAAAAAGCTTGATCATAGCAATCTATCGGCCAATCCCGTGAAACCCCAATAGCTCCGCCAACCGTCTTTGCATGGTTCCGTGCCAAACGTGCGTACATCTTCTTGTTTGTCTTGATTGTTTTGTGATGTGTGGCTTGTGCTTGGACCATTCGATCGAGATTGTGGAGTATTTCGGTAAGAGAGACACTCCTCCAAGGCGGAAACAGACTAACAGGGTTATTTCCGCCAGATCCTTCTTCAATGTCGGAGTGGCAGTCGTTGTCCTCGAGTACAACAGCCAGTTGAGGAATATCACGAAAGACCTTATCAGCCATTGAACACCGCTGCTCCTTGATCTGTTCCCTCAGAAAAATATCAGCCTCTGTGATTTATAGGAAAACCTACAATCACTTGATTAGGTGGAATTAGACTTAATTTCTTCCGCCACCTCTGCAAAAGAGCTTTTGTCGCCTTTTGCGACTTCAGAGTAGTATACTCCTCCTTATTCATGCCTCCGTATTGTTGAATCTCTCGTGATTTAGTTTCAAGCCACCGTTTAATGATTGCAGCCGCTTGTCCGGCCTCCTCCTCAGTTATCTTTATCGACCGCCCAAGCCATTCCACCGATTTCTTTCCCATCACCTCAATCACAGCAGAGTTCCAAATCGAATCCTCATCACGGGGAACGTTCCACTCAAACGTAAATCTGGAGATTCCGGCCAAGGCAAGTGCTCTCTCCACATCCGCCTTCGTTTGGGTACTGATTGGCCTTCCTCCGCTGAGAACACCTTTCCTGGGAGCCGGGTGGAATGTAGGCAGAGGGATATTCTTACGTATTTCCTTCTCTGCCTGTGCTAAGAAGAAATCTTGTTCTACAGTAGATCTTGAGGAGAGACTGGAACGCAACCGTTCAAGTTGGTCAATGATGATTGTTGATCGTTGGTCCACCCAATATAGAGCCTCTAGTTCTTCCGAGGTCGGTGGTTGGGGATAGTCATGCGGTATCGTAGGTCCTCCCAGGAAAAACTTAATAAAGTGTTGGATCCCACGAGAATACTTGTCGCAATGCTCATTGAGAGTTGCCTTCTTGGCAATTCCGCGGGCCCGGCGCTCCTCACGAATCCGATTCCCTCGTTCCTCCACACTAGCTCTTGCCCCTCTGGCATGCTCAATGACAATATCCGGATCTAATCTTGATCGGTCAGTCATCCCATCAGTGTTGAGCGTTCCTGAAGGCTGCGAGTCTGGAAGATGAAAGCCCCGAAATGTACAAGATCAGTTTATTGTCAGTAATGACTAAAGTTTTAAGAGCATTACTCACCCATGGGAGCAGTATTCCCAGCAGATGTATTGCGGTTACCTGCACCAGGGAGGTTAGGAATGATCTTGTCGATTATTGTAGATATCCAGCTGTGTTCGCGTTCTCCATCTCCTCCACCCGGTGTTCCACTCTGTCCGCCCTGTTCACCTCCACCAAGACTAGTACTTTGACCGGCCTGCCCCGTAGGCTCCACGTCTGGAGGCTCAGGATTCATCTTAGAAATCAAACTAAGGGCTAGTTTCCGGGTGATGTATTTGTAAGGAATTGGAATTAATTATAATTGAAGGAGAATATATCTTAATCAAGGATGGAGAGAATCAATTTCAGAGTGATTTGAAAACAGGTGAGCAGGAGACTTGATCTTGGGTTAACTACAACTTAAGTGTACTATATACACAACCAAATTTTGCTGCCGTGATGAAGACAGGAAAAACAAGCACCAAAAAGTAGTAAAATCAAAGGGGAATCTTCTCATGCACACCGTTTCAACCATGAACAAATAAGAAGAAACATGATATGCATTGATCTCACGTATCAAGCCCTTCCCATCCCTGGACAAACAACATGTCAGCAAAGGGCTACAGAGCAAATCACAAGGGCATAACTCACCATTGTTCCCAATCCAACAGCTGTAACAGTCTTACTTCCGATTCCAAATGTTCCCTCTGGGTTCTTCAGGACCGCCACATGTCCAATAATTTTTTCCTGCTCCACAATAGACGGAACTTCAAACTCATCTCGAACCAGTCTGCAGTTCAGGTCAGGGTATTCGTTGTAAGGATCTTCACTCTTGTCAAGTTCTTTGAAAGGATTGACAATTATCCATGTTCTTCCGGGTGTTTGGTCGGAGCGGAAAATATTTTTGATGGTACCAAATCTTTGGTCTGTACCAAATAAAAACTCAATATAAGAATTTCCAAGATGGTGATTTGCTGTGCTGAAGTTCTTCCCTTTGATTGTTATCGTCATCAGGGTTGGCACCGTTGAATCAAGCTCAATTGGATTTTCACCAAGCCGTCCTCTGGATGCTTCTTTCCCGGAGATAGCTCGCTTCCACTTTTTTATCATTTGTGTATCGAGATGCAAGTTGGCCTTCACCTTCTGTGGAACCGTGGTGCCTTTCAATTGGTCTTTCTTTTCTTCTGCCCCGCGGATAGTCAGTTGGAGTGTGGAATTTATGTGCCACTTCTTCAATAGTGTTTTTGGTATCTCCACTGATCTCAAGACGTAGACCTTGTCAGCTCAACATCCTCCAAATATAAATTAGATAAACAGAACAACTAACCTGGGTGGTGATTTGTTGGTAACTTTTGTAGCATCCCATTAACCCGTTCTTGAGCCCATGCTGCTGTAGATCTAGGTGGACCAAAGTTCCGGATGACGTTAGAATAGTGCTGTGTCAGATGTAGATTTGGCATCGATGATTCGTGTGGCCACCCTTCATGGAGACATCTTCTGTATTTCACTATCAAGTCATCAAGTTCCGGTAAATCTTTGGGGTGGATCTTTGGTAATGTGAGGAAATGAGAAATCCTTGAAAGAAGAGTTGTAGATTCTAGCAATGCAGAAACCCGCTCCTTTTCTTCTTCTGTTGCACACTCGGTGTAAGCTTTCTTCCAGACAGGAATTAATGCAATCGTGTAGTAAACTTTGTAGAGAATGAGCCACTCTGCAGCCTTGAGGGAGCCATGACTTGCAGCTCCTAAATTATGGGGAACCCGGTCAATCCACGATGGGATTGTGGTATGAATCAGTGTTCTCCGGACCACCTCAAGCTCACCAGGCCTCAATCGATGTGAGATACCACCCTCCTTTCCCAGTGGTGTCAAAGACTTTTCTCTCCTGGGTCCCCTCTCAGTGCAATCACTATGACGTTCATCTTCTGAGTGTTCAGTATCTGGAGTATCGTCACATTCATTGTAAACTGTTTGCTTGCGAACACGCAAATTGTAAGAGTGGCTTCCTTGTGTCGTGTGAGAGCTTTGTTCGGAGGAGGCTTGAGACTCAGATCTAGAGTCAGCTTGATGTTCACGTTCTTTCCCTTTTACGGAAGGCACTGCTTGTGAATTTCTCCCTCTCTTGCGTGGTCTGAGTTTTGCAGTTGAATCATCAGGCTCTTCACTGCGCTTCCGCTTGCCCGTCTTCTTTGGTTCAGTTGGAAACAAGTCAGTGAATGGAAGGGACGTAAAGTGATCATCAAGCTGCCATTCTTCCTCCTTCTGTTGAGTTTTCATTAGCTGTTTTGCGGCCGAGGGTAAGTACAGGAACCGCATGCTGTGATCTTTCAAGTTACCAAGAATCAGTGCATGCATAAGCTCAATTGAGCAATAATCTACCGGGCGCCAGTAGGGTAGGTGATTAAGAACACTCCATCTTGCACCGTTTTCCTTCATGAATTTCTTGCGTTCCTGGTAGTTATCAAGTTCCAGCCACTCTTTTGCATGAAGTAGATGTTGCTCGTTGTTCCGTGCAGGGAATTTTGATGGATCTATTTGTTCAATGTCCTTCTTATCCGTCAGACAAAAGGAGCAGAATAAAGTAGCTGCGTGACTTCCAAAGCCGGCTGTTTTGCGGAGTGCAGGAAGGTCTGCAATCAGAGGGAAAATTGCTGCACGGATGACTCGGCCCTTTGGATGTGATGCGGTGGATTCAAATCGGACTCCTTTCCAAAAAGACTGAAGCTCTGTGACTAATGGTAGCAACAGATGATTGACTTGTTCTAGACTTGGCTCTTTGGGGCCAGGAATCACGCCAAAAAGGAAAATGTTCTCGACCTTTTAGCGTTGACCAGGTGGCAGATTCAAGCATATTAGTGTAATTGCACCGACAGAGTTGTGAGAACCAATGTTAGATGACCCTTTGGCATTGAACCAGTCCAGATAGAGGCTGAATACTAGGTTTCCGGAAGTCTTCGTGTAGATCCCATCTCCTTGGTCGGTCTCTGGAAACTCCAGCCACACCTTTCCATCCCACACATCCTCCATAATCCCATCAGAACTTTGATGTTGAGCACTCAGGCTGGAATCTAGTAGAGTCTCAAAGTGGGATTCCAAAAGTCGTGCCTTGAGCCAAGTCTCCAGTTTCATATAGCTGAATGTACGCAATGGTTGGAGTTGATTTTTTCGATTTGGCTTCAGCAGGTGCTGGTTACATTCTGGTTTCATATCCTGCTCTTTTGCCCACTTGCAAAATCTTTGATATGAAGATAGGAAGGCCTGGTTACACTTTTCCGGGCAGGGGTGTTCACGATCGTCCAGCCGGTACAAAGCAAAACACTTTTTGCAGCATGCTTGTGTGATTATTTCGGGGTTGAGTCCCAGACGGTTAAAGACTGCCTCACGAGTGTGAGGGATCTGTTCGACCATTCTGGATACAGTGGATGTACTATCTGCAGTGCTCCATATTTTTGAAAGCAATATAGCATTTTCACGAGCCGCCTGTAGAAAATCTGCGGCGCCAGACTTGCTGAGACGGTTCCTAAGGACCAACTGGGCCATTTGCACCATGACTTGCTTGCAAAAATCTTCTTCAAGGAGCAGAGGCCGAGCACTGCTTTCAGGAGTGTGAACAGGAACCACATTAGAGTGAGACGGTCCACTCTGTTTGCACATCATTCATACAAAATCCACAGAACCCATTATCAGCATAATGACCACTCGTTTGAATGGGAATAGTGGCACCTTACTTCAGATGAGCTACCCCCTTCAACCCGCGGATCAGGGACAACTTCCATCACCTTTGATTTTAATCGTGCTTCTTCAACTTGGTGCTTTTGATAGACAACCCTTGAAAGTACTCTACCTGGGACCACCCCAATACCGTCTTCTTTGTGCTGGGTTGCATTGCATCCGTAAGACGTGCAATGGCATACATAGGTAGGATGTATGGTACGCATGGAATATGAGAATCAAAGACAGGCAAGTATTAGAGTGGTGGGTGGCTGGAGGGTTGGACTGTGAAATTCACACGAGTTGCAAGCCTTAAGATGTAGGGTCCCTTTCCCCTATCCAGGGGATATGCTGGCACAGCTATTTGGAATATGCAGGATTTTGGCAGAACTTCTACCATCCAATACCACTGTCAAGGCAGCCTCAATGTATTGTCGTCTGCTTTTACACTAAATTCCCCAGTGCAAATATGTACACAGCAATAAACTGCTATCTGCAGATCTGGAAACAAATCAGGAGCCATTCAATGTGATGATTTCTTTGTACAATGCAGAAAGTTCTTGCATCAGAAAGCCTCTCACATGCAAATCTTCTGAGGTTATATTGAAGTGGTGATTGACATGTGGTCGAAATAAATAGATAATTTGCATTGTTAATGCCCGCGTAAACTACAAGATGATTAGTTTCTAACTAATTACGCACGTTGCAGGAGATACTCTCGAATACCAGTTCTCCTGGGGTTGCTCATGAACTCAAACTGTTCTAGTGACCTGAACTTAAATACCAGACGCTCTCTTAGTTTTTCCCAATCATTGCACCATCCTCTATCAAATTTTTTCCGCTCAAGAAATCTCCACCTGTTGAACATCTAATAATGCCCACCACATTTAAGTTCAATCACACCCAGCTCTGTTGGATTAAAGCAATGCAAGATAGAATAGATGTTGTTGTAGAAGGAATGGAATCTCCCCCTAGTAGTACACCTTTGCCTGCCAACATCGAAGAAAATCTCTCCCGTGACTGGGTTAATTGGAACCACTGTGTTCAACTCCAATGTAAACTGGTTGCCGACGCTCACGACCACAAAATACCCAACTGGGCTGTTCCCAACGTGAATGCAACTTGGATGGCCAGAAGGAACCGATTTGGAAAAGGTTTGGACACAACTTTGGTTCACCTGGCATTCAGCATTACTGACTACTATGTTTAACCCTTGTTAGGACTGATCAACTTCAAAGATTTTGGTGAAACCGGCAATGTTGCGTCTGCCTAGCAGCTGGTCAATATATGTGCTATTTTGTCAAGGTATAGTCACATCCATTCTTGTTTAGCACAAAGCCATCTACTCTTATACTTTTTCGCTGATAAACATCCAATTTTTGGTTGCAGAGACTTGGGATTGTTGGGAAAACAACTTTAGTACATTTCTTGTAGTTCAACCAAAACCAACTTTTTTTGATCTTATCTGTTCCAATACGATCTCAGCTGGTCAAATTACACTCATGAAATTGTTGTTTTCAAGCTCTTGTGATTCCCCCCTTCTTCCATTGTGCTTCTTGATGAAGGGCTCTAAGATTGAGCATCATACAACACATCAGATTGAAATCATTTTTGATTCAGCTACATCAATGGAGCATAAGGTGCCGTGATTTTTGGAGGTGGAAGCCATAAGATTCAAATGAAAAAACACCTGCTCTCATTAATTTTGGTCTTATTGCAATGCACCATCAGCTGTACATCAGAAGTGTGGCAGCATGTTGTATTTCCAATCAACCACCCGTCTTCAAGTTGGGTGTTGTTACATGCACATGTAGGCAAGCCAGAGAAAATAATTTGGTTTGGTGTGGTGGTTCCGCATGGTGTTGGTATGTGACACTGCTGTAAACCGTATTATTTGGTAAGCTTCCACTTTCTCCCTGACATGTTGTCACCAAAACGTACGCGCGTACGTTTTGGTGACATGAACCCACTCAAAAAAACAAGGTTAAAAGGTTGCAGGACACCACCCAAAACACTACACAGGCAAACTTGTTTGGTTCCAGCCCATTCATGCAGCACAGCTTGTAACTAATAAGCCCTTTGAGGATCCTTTAATAAAGGGGCAGCATCAACGAAGCACTCACTCCCCCCACTCCATTTGAGCAATCCCCACATCAAATTGTTTCGCTATAAGAAGACCCCTGTATATGCCTTTCCGCTCAAACATCAGCTCCCCAACCCACCATGAAGACTGTTACTTGTTCTCACTTCAGCGGTCACACCCCTCCAACCAACACTCGTAAAGTTAACAGTATCTATTCTGCTGTATTACCAAAGTCAACCTCACCTCTTTGCCGAAGTGTCTCGTCATTCACCCGCACACTCCTGGACTTGAACACCAAATCTTCTGAAGTATGGAAGATCTGCCCATCTGCTCAAGATTTTCAGATTGGCTGTAGCCTCCCATCCTCCGTCTTGATTCATCCCATCAGTCAAATTCCGGAAAGCGCAGCTTCCCTCAAAAGCGAAAAGATCCCTGATCTGTTCAGGGTACTCTACCTTCAAGATCTCTCTGCATCTGGATTCCCTGGGGCCACCTTTGCCTGGGAACATCCGTGGGAATCACCCTGGAATCAGTCCATTGCTCAGTTTATCCTCAAGCACTGGCGACACGCCCACCAATCAGGGGTTTTCAAGATATTTTACATTGATCCAATCGAAGCTTCAAACAACAAACTCCACATGGGTACCTTGCATCGGTGGTTCCTTGGAAGAGCTGAAGGTCTCAGGTTGGGCAGGTTTTCCCAAGTACGTCAAAGTAAGAAGAAAAAATCAGAGTTGCAATCCAAGTTAAGAAACCAGGTAGGCAATCTCAATCTCTTCCTTCTATGTGTAATTGTTCCCCCATACTCATTCTGTATAAAAAACAAAAAAATCTCCAGATTCAGAAACACCGCCAACAGACACTCTCCAACCTCAACATAACAGCCGAATACAAAGCGCTTTTCGATACTCTTGGTTGCTCTTCTGAAACTGAAAAGCTACCAGACAAGTCACTTGTCAAAGTCCCTTTGTCATGGAGGTCCACCGAATTCCAACTCCTCGCTCAGCAACTAGACAAAATCCACATCCGCAAGAAGATGAGCACAAAAGGCCCCAAATATACAACCAACTATACAATTGAAAACCGTCGTTTGGATCCTATCTCTCCCATTTCTCCTGCTTTCTCCAATGTCCCAACCAATCTACCGATCAACTGCTACGCTCCTGAATACATAAAAACCCTGACTGATACACAAAAGATACTCCTCAACTCCAAGCCGGCCATTAACTTTCCTGCACTTTTGAATATGATACAAATCCCATGTGAGTAGTTACACATCCTATTCATCTTGCTAGGCTACTCATGATCAACTGAGCAGACTTGTATTCTTCATCACCGCCTGACGGAACACTTGACCTAGAAACCAATACAGATCATCATCATCAGTTACAGAGGCAGTCTTGCTGAAAACTAAGCCAAATTATATATTTAAGAAATGCCTACATTGCCAGTTCTCCTTTACGTCTCTGTATCTGATAGATATTTGTCTCCAGTGTTCCATGTACGTAGTACCTATATACATTCACCGGTTTCACCTGTCCCAGCCGGTAAAGACAATCAATAGCCTGTGCCTCCATTGCTGGATTCCAGCTTGGCTCCTTCAAAAATCCAAATTCACGTCAGATCTCCATACACATTGTTCTTGCCTTATGTGCACTCACCATGATATAGACATGTTCAGCACATCTCAAATCAATTCCCACCCCTGCTGCTGCAATTGACCCCAGCAGCACGTTACAATCAGTGTTACCCCGAAAAATAGCTAGACTCTCATCACGCTGTGAGATGCTCATTTTCCCAGTGAGCCATGTGGATTGTATACTGTTTGCTCGGAGGCCGTTTTCAATTCTTGAAAGAATACATTTTATTTCTTGTCAGCAAATTAAATTGTATGCATAGTGGTTTTACTTTTTGAACTAGGCCAACTCACATCTCTAAAAAGCCAACATAGCTTGAGAATATCACAGACTTTGGTCGTTTGCTCCCACTTCCTTGACTTTCGGAATTTTTGAGTTTATCAATAAGATGAACTGCTTTCGCAGAGTGATTCCACTCCCATTGTACGTCAAATTAGATCTCTTCTCTAGCAAAAAGTGGGTGATTACAAAATTGTCGGATCCTTGTGAGTTGCCGGAAGAATTCACCAGAATTCCAAACATCTGCCGAGGTTCGTAAACGTCCAAAGCTCTGCACAAAAGTCTGATGGAGTTCGTGCGATATTTTTTGCCAATCGGAGCTGAGATGAACCACAACTGCACGCTCGGTCTTTGGTGGAAGATTCAACAAGACATCCTTTGTTCTCCTCAAGCATATCCTGTCCATGAGTCGGTTTAAGGATTTGATGGCTTGGCTTGAGCCAAAATTTATGTTAGGTATTAGGAAATTACTCCATATCCATTCTTCACTCCATGGTTTCATCTTCAATAGTTGAAAAAGGCTTTGGAGGTCTGTCAAGCGGTTCTGCAGCGGCGTCCCAGTCAAACATAAGAAAAATTTGGCATCAAGGCGTTGAATAAGCTGTGTCCTTGTTGCACTCCGGTTCCTGATCATACTATATGTTCCACATAATTAGTACCACATTTTCTCCTCAAAGGGTCTTGCTCCAGCTAAATATCTCTCTGGTAGTGTACTCACTGAGCTTCGTCTAACACTATTCTGAACCAGCAAATGTTGAGTGATTCAATCGTCGGCAGGCTTGTGGAGCTGTTCCCAGTTTTTCCAATCATCTCATATGTTGTTAGCACAACCATTGAAGACAATTAGCTTGTCGTGCGTGATTTCTCCTCGATTTCTTCCATGGAAGACACAGTAGGTTATGGGTTTGTGGTTGAAAATGCATTTGGATCTCGTTTTCCCAGTTCGACAGAGTTGCCAAGGGACATACAATAAAGAGTAGCTCCGGACGCCATTGCTGAATTGCCGAGGCGAGATCGCTGAGAAAGGTGGGCTGATTGGCTGGTCGCCAGAATGAACATTAATGCCGTCAAAGTCTTTCCAAGCCCCATGTCATCAGCAAGTATTGATCCTCGTGGTTTCTCATATTCACTACCAGCCATCAGTTCAGTACATTCTTCGACACTATCCCTGATCCAGTCGTTGTCAGAGTGGCTCCAGAGTTGTGAAGTTATCTCTTCGTTGGATTCGTTTCGTTTCAGAAATCGGACAGCGCTCAGTTGGTGATCTTTCAAAGTTGTACGGCAGAGGGCAATGTATGGGTCAAGCCAACTGTGGTCGCTAGATTGTCCAAGGTGATAATGTTGAGATGTGAGGTGTGGTATCCGAAAGAAAAGGTCTGGGTTGTAGTTCCAAATTGACAGGAGCTCAATATCCGCACTACCAAATCCAGAAAGAACGGTTTGAACATCCTCAGACCGACTGAAAACACAAGCCCGTAGTTGAAAAATTGTTGGGGTCTTTGTAACAACAAATGCTTGAAGTTTGATCAAAGCTGGCTCCGGCCGAGAAAATTGTGCTTTGTTCATCCGAGTGGAGCAACCTCCCACCGGCCCTAACAGCGGCCCAATAAACCTGCTTTGAATCTCGCTGAAATCCCCAAAATGAAAACTTGCTGAACCTAACACATGGACTCGATGGTTTCCTTGTTGGAGGAAAGCAAACTGGGGAACATCAGGGGAAAAAATTGTGGATCTGGCAGAAAATGGAATGAGAATTTGACCAAGGCAGAGAGAATGAACCATTGTTAGATTAGGACTGGGTCTTGGGGGGGAATGAGAGTGACAAAACTGATACAGATTTCAGGTTTAAATTGGCTGGCTGTTCTTCGTTGCTTATGCCGATGGGATAGTAGTGTTTGTTTTGCCCTTGAACATGCTCCTTTCTATTGCCAAAATACCCCTTGCCCATAAGCTGGATGTATCAAGGAGACATTGGGGGATCTTAAAACACTGTATATCCACCACATACATCTACAGGTATTATTCGCATCATATCAACCCATATAATGTGGAAAGTCTTACAAGTTGTATACAAAAACATAGACATTGTTGTTGCCGAGATGTTTGGTGAAAGTTGCTGGGTCAGCATACAGCATTTGTAAGGACATGTTTATCAAGGAACATATGTCATTCAACCAACACACCTCCACTAGCTGTTTAGTTTGTGTTGAAATTTTGCTGAGAAAAAGGATGTGCAAAGATGTGTGATTGAAAATTGCATTTTCAGGTTAAACTAGACAACTTCTCTACATCAACTCTGATTTTTGAGGTCAAACCTAGAATGTGATTTGATTGTGGAAGAGGGCTCCTGTTGTTCTTGGTATAGATTTGAGTAGGATGTGAAAAAAATGTGAGGGTTGAGATCATACGAGGTTGCAGCTAAGTTACAACTGAGTTACAGTCGAGTTGCTCAAAG